CACATGCCTGGGTTGTGGCCTCCATTCTGGTGGAGGTCATGCAGGAAGCAGCTGATCAATGATTCTCTCTCATTATTGATGTTTCTATCTCTCTCTCCCTCTCCCTTCCTCTCTGAAATCAAGAAAAATACATATTTTTTTAAAGTAAGTGTGTTTTTGGTTTAAAATAAAGATAATTTTTTTCTAGTGAGATCTGGCTACAATGATATTTCATTTGCCAAACCTAAAATCCCTAAAGTTGGGTAAAAATAAACTGCATATATTAGATAGCTATAGGAATACTTATATTTGCTTACATATACATAAAGCATTCCCGGAAAGATACAAAAGAAACAGACACCACCAAATGTCTCTGGGATGAAAAAACAATAAAGATAGAATGCCCCTTCCTTTGGCTGAGATTCTTGGATAAATGAGATGAGGAATGAACCATTTTTTAAGAATTAAAAAATGGAAACCTCACATATACAAGAAATATTAGAAAATGCTCACATTTTGTGTTATCAATTGGAAAATGCATAGATGAGCTGAGACAAATGAGAAAACAAGGGCAAAGCAAGGATGAAGAGTAAGGTTTCCACACAGAACACAGACCATATGGGAAATGACAAGCAACTCTGCATGGCCAGAGGATGGAGGGAGAGAAGTAGTGGGCTGCTGTGACTGAAGAGGACAGTGGGGGGCCAAACACCAGGCCCTGAGAACCATGTTCAGGAATGTGGATGATACGTTGAGAGCAGCGGGTAGTGTGTGACAAGTTTCAATCAAGGGAGTAGGAGGGGCCGATTTGTGTTTTTCAGATAAATTTTGTCTGCAGTGAGGATAATGGATTTAAATAGGGCAAGAGTGGCAGCAGGAAAAAAAGAGTTAGAGGCTTATATAACAGATTTGGTGACGGAAGGTGGCCTGAACCGAGGAAGTGCAGAAGATAGATAAGAGAGGTATTTAGAAAATGAAATGGCAAAGACTTGGTAAGTCAATGGGCAGAAGGAGTGAGAGAAGAGTCAGAGACAGCTAAACCAGAAACAATGGCCACAAGCATGTGCTGATTAGTGGATAGAGCCAGGAATGGAAGAGTGAAAGCTGGTTTTCTGGGAAAGATGTTTAAAGTGACAGTGGGACATTAAAGTGAAGATGACTGGCAGATGGAGATATGTGGTCATCAACCTCCACATAACTAAGGAGTAATAGAGTGAGAATTGGTTCTAGGGCTCACCAACATGTATGGGACAGGCAGAGGAAGGAGAAATAAAAAAGATCAGGAAGAGATAGTCATAGAAGCAGGAGAGGACAGCATCGTTAACACCAAATGATGAGTCAGTGTCAAAAGCTGCTAAGGGGTCAATGAGACAGGGGCTTAACACAAGGTAATTTCTGGCAACCATGGCAAAAACAGAGGCAGTGGAGTAGAGTGGGAGAAGAAGAGGCAATTCTAAATCCTATGCCAGCGAAATTACAAATGCCTACATAGTCTATAGTTAGGATAACTTGTGAAAAGTAAACCATAAAATGACCTATAAACGTGGGATAAAAGATGAAGCAGAAAAGGAGACTTTACTTCTTTACAAACCACTATCAACCATCCACCACCTGAACAAAAGAAAACCTGAAATTCCTAAAAAATTAACCAAAAAGAGTATTCATTCCAAAGTTTGGGTGCTGGTTTTGGCATAAATACCTCTAAAATGCCAAGCCCATGAACTACAACAGAGTTGGACCAGGGTCCTTAAAAGCCTCCCTCAGTACCCAGAAGTAACCCCTTCTAATCAGGCAGGAAGGGCTTGAATACAAGGCCACAGGGGAAACTGCCATCAGCACGTTAAAATGGCAACATGAGGGGAATTAGTTACTCTGACCTGGCCTAGCACCGTGCCGAATCCATATTAATCCTCTTCCACCAAGAACCTTCACTTCAGATCCCCTCACCTACATGACTAATTCAGGTTGGCATTTTGCTTTCTGGGACGTGAAGCCCAGCCAAACCAAGTTGACAGGCATAAGAAGGAAACCTAAGAACTAAAGAAAGAAAAACACATCAGCCATGAAAACCACATACTGCTGTCCCAAAAAAAGGCCCCTTGCTCTCATCTTAAACAGAAGGCAATGCTCCAAACAGGAGGGGGAGAATCTCCACTGATGCCAAACAAACATTAAGGGAATCAGACTGTTGCAGATTATTACAATGGACTGTGAAATCCATTCCAAGTCATTCATATTACAGAAAAGAGAAGCAACTTGCCCCCAAGGTCACACAGAGTTTGGCTAGGCCTGGGCAAGCACCTGTCTGGTTTTTTTTATGCACTATACCATAAGTCCTCCTAATGGCCAATTGCTGCCAAATACTTATGTCCAGCCTCACTCTCCCCAAAGCTCCGGACTCATATATCCTACCATCTGACACCTACTCTTGGCTATCTCAAAAGCTCAAATTCCCAACATCCAACACTGAACTCATGATCTTTCCCTATTACTCCCAACACCAGTTTTTCATCCAAGGCCTCTTAGCTTACAGATGACATCACCATCCATCCGGTTCCTGAGCCAGAGACTAAGGAAGCATGTCCAGTGTTTGACCTCCAGCCCTACCACTTCCTGGCTGCAACCTTGAGTAAATTAAATAAGGTCTTTTAAACCTCAGGTTTTAGCAGCTGAAAAATGGAATAATAACAGGAATTACTTCATAAAATAGCTGTGAACAGTGAAAAAGATGATGTGTATAAAATGCTAAGCATAGAAAATAAATATGTGTGCAGTTCCCTCTATCTTATTGCCTTCTTCCTCCAATCCTACCCCTCCACCTGCTTAACACCTATGAATCATTCTCATTTCAACTCAAATGTTACTCCCTGCTGGAAGCCTTCCTTGATCACCCCCTGCCTGCCAAGGTTAGGTCATAACCGCCCCCCTGCCACTTTTAACCCTCAAAGCACAGTGTAATTTCCATTCACATCACACTATGATGGTTTGATTAATGGCCATCTCCTCCAATTGCCTATAAACTTCATGAAGGCAGAGAATGGGAGTGTTATACCTCATTTTTGTATTCTCAACACTGTACTTAGCACATAATAGGTGTTTAGTAAACATTAGTTGAGTGAAATGCCCAGGATGCATTTTTATCAGCAGAAAAATGGACCTAGAGTTTTGAAGAGAAGTCACAGAACATCCCATCCAGGGGGCCAGGTAGAAGGCCTGGCGAGCCCCATCTGACCTACAAAGTTCATGACTTACTGCCTGTTTGACTGTCATTCTAACTGTTAAGAATTTGGTCTCCATGGTGTTAGAATATACTCTGCATAAACATGCACAGCCACACCCTGGGCATTTTTTAGATGAACCCCAGTCCCTCCTATACCTTTCCTAATGTAACCATCACTTCACCGTGGGTGTAATTCTAGTGTTTAAAGACACATATTTTTGTACCACAGGACCTCTAAACACAGCCAACTGCTACATCTAGGGCTTACCTGAAGAAACAGCTGTCTGTTCTAACTCCAGGGTAAAATTGAGTTCTATGGGATCTAGGAGGGAATGGCATTTTGGCTCTCCAATGTGGTACCAATAAGGTATTTTCAGGAATATTTTTTCACTACACCCAACATTTATTTATGCAGAAACTTTAGAACCTAGCCTCCTTCTAACATGGGACTCTAATGTATAGCAAAGTATTTTAAAGTGCAGGTTTTGACATTGGGCAGGCCTGGATTCAAATTCTGGTTCTGCTACTTAGGAATTATGAGTATAACCTTAGACCCATTACTCAACCTCTCTCAGTCAGTTAACTCATCTATACTAATAGATATAATAGCACCTAGATATTATAGTGGCAAGGAACACTAAATATAAGTACCCTGCTTATGGCTAAATTATTGTATTTAAGAAAGTTCTTTGTATGGGGTGGAGGGTGAGGTGGGCTAGGGAAGGTCAATGGGGGGAAAGGGGGACATATGTAATACGTTCAACAATAAAGATTTTTTTTAAAAAGGAAGTTCTTTGTACACAGAGTACTATCACCTTAGAAGATAAAGTTCTGTACCATGCCTAACAGTGCCCGTTCCCAGTGGGTATTCAGTGAACACCACGATCTTCCTTAGCTTTGTCTATTTTGGTCCAGACACCAGCCCACTTCCTTATGGGAGTATCTGACACCACCCTGCTATTTTGAGTAGATCTGCCTGCACATAAATGATCCTCTTCCTAACTTGGACAATTGAAATGTTATACAAATCACCCTACTTCCTCTTGTCTTTAGGGTCAAACAGTGAACCAAGTTTTTTCATAACTTCTCTCATGCACACACACACCCTTTGTTGAGAATATGACTTCCCCAACACAGGACTCAGAGATACTACACAAGAAAACAGTGGCAAACACAGGAAAAAAAGAGTTCTTTATCCAAGGGAAAACACTGGAGAAAGAAAGGGGAGCTGAAATGTTCTAAGCAATGGTGTAGCCAGAAAAAACTGAAATATCACTGGGCTTCTACCATAATATTTCTTTTGTATCAATTAAATATGAGAAAGAGTGGTTGCTGCCACTTATAAGATAACTGCTCTCCAAACAGCATTGAACTAGGCACTGAGGGAGAATACAGAAGGACTACCTCTGCCTTCCAAAAGCTTGCAATGTAATTAGAGGCACAAAACAAATGGGCAACACTTAACTATGCACTGATAATAAAGAATAAATAAGGCATAGATACAACAGGCTGTTTGGGGGAAAGTAAAGCTCTCCTGAAAAAGGTACCTAATGATTAAGTAGATGATGGTGGAAAGGCATTTTAGACATACCAATGACCAGGAACCAGCCTGGATTACTCTAGAGACAGACAGAAACATATATAATACAAACGATTTAGGAAAATACACAAGCAACAGAACAAGAAGTACAATCTTTGTATGAGGGGGCAGTTTTATATCTTCCTTGCAAAAAAAAGAGGGCCCATCAAAAAATCATGTCCCCAAAGTCTCCCATTGGCATAACCCCACAACATCTCTTACCCGGATGAGGGAAGCCTGATGCCGAGGCGGCTTGGTTCCTTGGTTCCCCGATGAGGGTCCCTCAGGCTGGACAAGGGGCTGTCTAGCTTCATAAGGAGCTGAAACCAGAGCGAAAGTCATCATGGTACTCAAAGATTCCACCCAAGAATTATGACTTCACATTCCAACCGATACAGTGTCTGCTTTTAAGGGTAGAATTATCAAAGGAATTAGAGTTTATGTACATAGGGCCACCTAGGACCAACAAACCTTGGTGCCCCTGGGTACAATTTAACTGAACAATCTAAAGATAACCAACCAATGTATGATAAGGCAGGAAAATATTTACATCAGGTTAAGATTAGGAATAAATTGTAAGGGTGAAATGGTAAGAACCTAAATTGGGATAGAAAACAATGAGAGCCATTAGAAAAGTGCCATGTTATAAATGTTCAAATTCTTGAGATAGGTAAATTCTATATATACCCTCCTATTTAAAAGTCCTCCATTCATTCCCCTCCCCCTACCCCCCACCCTTGCAAAGAAGTAAATGTATATGCATTTTTTTGTTGTTTTTTGGTTTTTGTTTTTTTTATCTTTAATTTCTTTATTGGTTAAGGTATTACAAATGTGTCCTCATCTCCCCATTAACCCCCAACCTCCCCCCGCCATGCTCTCATCCCCCTGTTGTCTGTGTCCATTGGTTTGGCTTATATGTATGCATACAAGTCTTTTGGTTGATCTCTTCCCCTTACCCCCACCCTCCCCTACTTTCCCTCTGGGGATTGACAGTTTGATCACTGTTTCTCCATCTCTGGATCTGTCCCTGTACATCAGTCTATGTTGTTCTCTATATTCCACAAATGAGTGAGATCATGTGGTATTTATCTTTCTCTGACTGGCTTATTTCACTTAGCATAATGCTCTCCAGTTCCATCCATGCTGTTGCAAATGGCAAGAATTCCTTCTTTTTTACCGCAGCGTAGTATTCCATTGTGTAGATGTACCACAGTTTTTTAATATGCATTTTGAATACTAAGGCTCAATATTATCATTTATTTTGTTTGTTTGTTTTTGAGAAATAAATAGCACTATCTTCTTTTCCTTTTTGGAAAGAATGTGAAACCAAGTTGAGAAAAATACCAAAAAAATGTATTTTATTTTTTATTTCCTTTTTTTTACTAAGAATAAATGTATTTTATATTTATTATTTTATCATTTGATAACCAAACTAAAACTAATTTTGTTACCTTTAAAAAAAGGTTTTTTAAGCCACAAAAAATGAATACTTTTTTATTCCTTTTAATTCCAGAACACTTAATGACCTTGCCAATAGGGCAGAAAAATAGTTAAACCAGGTAGTATGCAGCTCCAATAGAAAAGAGAAATTATCACCCAAGATGAAACCATTTCTGATATGTGTGGGTTAACAGTTCGAGCTTTTGGAAGTATGTAAAGAAGTAAAATGCTTTCTTTCTGTAGTTTCCTTATAAGTAAAATTAGACAGAGAGAGCAGAGCAGCCTATTAGTGCAGCACCTTTAGCACAGTGTGATCTTTTTAAAACAAAGAAGGTATAATAACAGCACATCAAGAATAACAAACAACTCCTCGGCTCACATCTGCTTATTGTGCTTCATCCAAGAAACTGGAACACAAGATTATAACAAAATAAAACACATTAACATATCAAAATCATTGCCTAGCAAATCACTTAGTGTATTTTCAGACTCTACTAAGAATTATTAAAAATATAAACATTGCAAAAGAAACATAAACAGGAAGCACATAATCCAGATCTTAAAAATAAATCTCAGCTGGTAGACAGGTATTGAGAAAGATTTTTAAGATCATTTCACTTTGATGAAACACCAAATTAAACTCTTAATGCCAGAAGGTTTGGATGACAATAAACTGTATCATAGTTGGGATACTAATGGTCATAAGCTTTCCCTGGGAAGTTGATCCTACATGATTCTGGTTCCCCTCAGAAAGAGGGAGCTTCTACTGCCTAGGAGGGAACTGTTTGGGGGAGGACATCTGGCCCATGACTCCAGTCCTTTACCTACAAGGACCTTTTTCCTTTGGGAGAGACAGACCTAGCTCATCAATAGGCCGAATGAAGACTCAGCCACATGGAGGATCATTTTTGGAGAGCCTAGCGGGGCAGATTTTCTCTTCCTACTCCTGTGGGAAGCCTGGATTAGCCACACCTGCCTGTGACTAGAAAGGTGTCTGAAGCCCATGCAGTCACAAATCTAAGACTCATGCTCTGATCAGTTCTATCAGCGCCACAGCTGATATTCAGGCCATCATTGGTCTGACTACTGTCTCATTCCACAACTGGATCTGAATTCTAGTCTCCTTCCTCCCAAATAAAACACAAGACATGGAACTCAATGCAAAAAAAAATATATATATATATATATTCATAGATCCCCTTAGAAGAGTATATATATGTATATAGAAGCACATTTTTCTCCAAGAATAGGAGATCTCGTCAATCATCTCTAAAGATCTCATCAATCGGAGATTCAATGTCAAACTAGAACAGTACATGTCAAACTAGAAGTGACATGAGTAACTTCACAATAAAGACTCTACATCTGCAGTCAACCCAATGAATGGTGACCTGAAGGTGACTTTCAAGAATACTTAAGAATTTCACAAATAAAACGAATACCAGATTCTAAAAAACACAAAAGAAAATACTAGGGAACATTTGAGCACCTACAATGTGCCAGAAACTGGTAGGCACAGATGTTTACATTTCTCATTTGATCCACAAAGCAAACCTCTGAGGCAGAGATTATTCTATTTCACAGATAAAGGAAACTGAAGCCCAGAAAATGAAATACCCATAGTCACATAGGCTGGAAATGGACAGAAATGAGAACTGTAGGCCCACCAAGTCTACTTTTAGGGCCAGGAAACAAACATCACAGCTCATGCTCGTAAGTGAGTAAATACCTAGAATTAATACATCAGAATAATATGTATAAATAAAAGCAGAACAGACATATTGATTTTGAGATAACACATTAGACATCAGAAGAAACAAGTGAAAGAGTTGAAAGTAGTTGCCTCTGGAGATCAGAAACAAGTTCAGTGGGAAGAATAGTTGTATTTACTATAGGCATGTAAATATTATTTAACTATATACATGTATTACTATGATTTAAACATCATTTTTACAATATGGATAGCATTATATGCCTCTGAGGGTTGTGGTAAGAAGAATAGAATGCACATAAAGACCTCGGCATGATGCCTGGCACATAAGTCTTACCCAATGAACATTAGCTACAGCTATTTCCAGCAAGTGAAACTAACAGGAGCCCAGGAGAGAAGCTGAAGAGGGGCTCTGAATTCCAGACTGGTCTGATGATGCTCATTCTGATTTAAAGCATACTCAATACATGTCCCATCAGCCAGGAATCATGGCAGAATATTGAACAGGGAAATGACCCCAGAAAATGTATTACAAGAAAATTATGCCAGTAGCAAAACTCCTTTCTGAAAAGGTGGAAACTAAAAATAACTCTGGATTGCTTAGTACCAGAGTCGCTAAGGTTTAACAGGTTTTAGATATGCTACTGTCCAGACCACCGGTTGCCAACTGGTGGTCCGTGAGGTCTGAAAGGTTGGCAACCACTGGTGTAGACCAAAGGTAAGATGGAGTACAAAAATAGGAAAGAGAATCCCGAGTCCATCAAATGGGTTGGAGAAATTGAGTTCTGAAAACGTGGGGAGAGAGAGAAGGAAGACATGTGATCTTCTCTTACTTCTTGACATAAAGATATGTAACAAAAAAAAAAGGAAGCAAATAAGTAAAGAAAATCCTTTGGGGGGAAATCCACCGACACTATAAAAACAGGAATTAACAAGCTTTGACGTGAATAGTATCAATTAGAAGCAAAAATCACAAGATGGACCCAAGTTGCAGATAGAAAAATTCTCCCTTCCTTTGACTTACGTAGATGAGGAAGTCTAAATAGAAATACCTGTAAACATTTTATTTATGAATGACCTTGTTCCTAGCTACAGGAACCTAACAGCCTCCTAATTGGTGGCTAGACCCAGGAAACTCAACTTCTTGAGAAACAGGAGACTGTTCACTCAGATTCCTCTTTATGGGTAAGCTGCACAAAGAAGAACCCTCTAGAAGAGCAGCTCATCAGTCTAAGGATCATAATGTAGGAGAAAAACCAGGAAGGGATAACAGAAACTTAGAAAAAATGTTTCAAGAATAAAGGGAATGACCACAAAAATATGTACTTCACATCTAACAGAATGACTAAAATTAAAAACACTGAAGAAAAAGAAACCACTGAGAATACCAAATGCTTTCAAGGAGCATGAACTCTCTCATACACTGCCAGTGGGATGTATGCAACCACTTTGGAAAACTCTTTGGTACTTTCTCATAGATCTACCCTAAGTCTAACAATTCTACTCCTAGGTGCCAGGGAAATTACAACATATGTCACACTCATATTCATAACAACCAAACACTGGAAACAACCCAAATGTACATCAACAGGACAATGGCTCATCAACCTGTGATCCATTCATGTGATGGAACACTACTGAGTAATAAATAGGAACAAACTACTGATATACACAATATGGATGAATCTCAACCACTATGCTGAGGGAAAGACTGCAGACAAATAAGAGTACAGTCATTCAATATGATTATATTTATATGAAGTTCTAGAAAAGACAAAACCAATCTATAGTGATAAAAATCAGAACAGTGCTTGCACTAGGGAACAGAGCAGTGATGGCGAACCTTTTGAGCTCGGCGTGTCAGCATTTTGAAAAACCCTAACTTAACTCTGGTGCCGTGTCACATATAGAAATTTTTTGATATTTGCAACCATAGTAAAACAAAGACTTATATTTTTGATATTTATTTTATATATTTAAATGCCATTTAACAAAGAAAAATCAATCAAAAAAATGAGTTCACGTGTCACCTCTGACACGCGTGTCATAGGTTCGCCATCACTGGAACAGAGGGTGACTGGAAAGGGGCATCTCTGAGGTGACAGAAATGTTCTATTCTTGATCCAAATGGTGGTTACATGGGTATATCCATTTGTTAAAACTCAAACTGAGTATTTTAAATGTGTGAATTTTATATGTAATTTTTACCTCACTCTTTTTAAAAACATATTTTTAAAAAGCATAAAGGCATGAACAACCTTGACAGAGGCTGCTAATAGTCAAGAAAGATGGAGAGAAGGATGTTATCTCCTTGCCACTAGAGGAACGGAAGCCCAATTTGAATGGGATGAGGAGAGAATGGGCCATGAAATAAAGCTAGTACGGACAAGGTTTTTAAGGAATATCAAAAAAGATAGGGTGGAACGTGGTGATACACTGAACAAAAATGACTCACCTGCGAAATAAAAATAAAAAATCAGGCACCATGCTAGGCACAGGACTCCAACTTCCAAGCCCAAATAAGATTAGGAATTTTTAAAAACCCACTTCTAAAAACACAGAAATCAGGCAGGAGGGGGACTGGACTGTAAGAGGAAAATGAATTCTCAACCCCATTTTGTTGCAGACATCAGTAGGACATTCGAGTTCCAGGAGAGTGATTTCCTGTTACAATATCATCTTGCATTTGCAAAGGACTTAATTTCTAATCAGATTTTATACTCACGTTCTCACTAAACCTTACAGTACCCCTATAAGATACTCCACTTTAAAAGAGAAGAAACCATGCTTCAGAGCAGTTAAATGGCTTGCCCAAGGTCACATAGCTAGTCACATAAACCCACACTTCCTGATTCCAATCAAAAGATTTTTCCATTATGCTATACCTGCTTCTTTCTGCAAGATTACAGCCTCTCTCTAGTCCAGGCTAGCACACATTTTATATCTGTATCCCTCTAGAAGTCACCACTATTTTCAATGCAGCAAAAGCCTGCAGAAACTGGGTCATTTTCAGCCATAGTCCACAAAATAAAAAGGGGGATTATGGGTATCCAATTCTAGAATACCTTTAATTGGTCATATCTTAAACTAGGAGTCTGAGCCCCAGGAGGACAAGCTGCTGCAGTGAATTTATGGAGTTTTAGCACTGCGCCTAGGCAGCCAACTCTGCAAGTCATCCTTAGAACCAACTAACGGATTTTACCAATAGCATGGCCAGCACAGCCTGAATGTGAGCAAGCAGGCAACCCCACAATGGACACACGCACTTCTCAGCAAAATGCTTTCCCTATCATTTCCTTTATTCTTATTCCCAAACACAAGAGCTAAATAATTCCATTTATGTGATCAGTCTTTAACAGTTGAATCAACTCTTTTGCATTTGCAGTGTTATATTTTTAAGTCATTCCATAAAAGCAGTTCTTATATAAATATGTTTGGTATGTTTGCAGGAAAGAATAACATTTCCAAAACAACACAACCCCTTAATATGCCACTTTCCTGTATGATGAAATCTGTATATGAGAGATTAAATCATCTAAATCGTTGTTTACAAGTCTAAAGTTTGTAGGATGGGAGACAAGGCATTACTAAGATATATTTCATTTTATTTTTTTAAACCTTGCTTGAGAGGATAAAATTAAATTGAGCCATGTTTCCAAAGACAGAGGTAATTAAGTCCGGAGATTCAGCAGCTGGCAGCATTGCTGCCTGATAGATTAAGGAGTCTCCAAGACCTTGCCTGGGACAGCTGGCCTGCAGATTGCCTCTTACCTGGATGCATCTGCTCCGTGCTGCTCCGCAGTTTGCTGTAGCCATGGCTCAAGGGCACCCTCTGGTAATGAGGCGGAGAAGAAGGAGGGGAGGCGAGGGGTGACATCGTAGGAGACTGTGTTTCCTGCTTCAAAGAATCAGAGCAGAGTTCAGAAGCAATCACTGGAGAAGCCTGGCACTCTGAGCTGCAGTTATGAAGCATAACACAGCTCTACTGCTGGTGAGCCAGTTGATTTAACAAATGGAGGAAATGTTTTCTCAAAAATTCGGCTGGGTTAAAAAATCAGTGTCTGAGGATTCAAAAGTCTCCCAGAGAATAAAGTCTCACCAGTACTCAGGTACCTAAATTATTAAAACAAGCCTGGAACACTTTCAGTTATTCCAATAATATTTTCCTTTGGAAAATAAAAGACACTGATCATCACAAGAAATAACATTCATACTCCCCAATTTTGATCTCTTTGTGGATAGATTCAATTTTCATTCATTAATAAAGGCCCCTTCTTTCTGGATTTACACTCATCAAGTCTTCCAGCAAATGTGGCTATTAAAATATTTTAAAGGCTTAATGCTAAATATTCTTAGAGTTTACTATGCCAAGTAAAATGGCAGGGTTTTTTTTTATTTTTACATCGAGAGATTACAAAATAGTTAATTATGGGTAAACCACTCCAACTAGCCCACTTGTAAACACTAGGATGGAGCCTTAAACATGTTACAATTAGAATCTCAATTCAAATGTGAACCTGATGTTGGACCCTAGACAAGAAAATCAACCTTACTCTGATACTGGGTTTCCTCCTCTGTATTTTTTTAATGCTAACAGAGTGGTAATTTCAGAGTGCCCAAGTACCAAAGAAACAGTAATTTTTATCAACACAGGCACTATATAGTTGCTATTAGTCTAAAAAATTCAATCTGAGATACTGATTAATAACTTTTCTTCAAGAATATTTGCTTTGAACTGTGAGCAGATTGGGTGGGGCTAGCACAGTGATGGCGAACTTTTTGAGCTTGGCGTGTCAGCATTTTGAAAAACCCTAACTTAACTCTGGTGCCGTGTCACATCTAGAAATTTTTTTATATTTGCAACCATAGTAAAACAAAGATGTATATTTTTGATATTTATTTTATGTATTTAAATGCCATTTAACAAAGAAAAATCAACCAAAAAATGAGTTCACGTGTCAGAGGTGTCATGCGTGTCATAGGTTCGCCATCACTGGCTAGCATAAACCCAGCCAAAAGGATGTGTCCTTACTCACACAGCCAGGGGATGGGTCCAGGGCACCAACCATCCTGGAGTAGTGAACCCTCATTCCTCTCCAAATGCTGATAGGAAAGCATGCCAAAGAGTGGTGACTGAAGATCCCTATGCTCCTTTTTATATATATCCTTGAATAACATGCTACACCTCACTTAAATATAAAACTACTGGTGTTCCGGTGCACAGATTCATGCACATTGAAAGGAAATTAATTAGAAGAAATATTTTAATATCACTATTCGTCCTTTCTCTATAATAGAAGTGTCAACCAAATTCACGATCAACAATGATAGGTTGAAACATGAGCGTGCAACTGGTGCCAGCGAGAGCTTTACATGTATCGCGCATGTGCAAGTCAACTTAGCCTTCTCTCTCTCTCTCTCTCTCTCTCTCTCTCTCTCTCTCTATATATATATATATATATATATATATATATATATATTAAACTTGCTTAATTACACCTGCTTTCTGATTTAGCAAAACTTTTTCCAGCCCAGTGAAGCACCACAACTTCTCTTTCAGGTAATTGTCAGCAACACAGCAGTAAATATCAACACAAAGCACATTATTATTGTAGATCACCCAGGGAGAACAAAGGGTAAAATATTTAACTGCAGCAGTGTTTGACTATATGCTGCGCAGTGAGAAAACCTGAAGTCATTTTCAAGGTCCACCATTTCTTCTTTTCAGTCGGGTCAAGTTTCTAAACTTTCTAAATCTCCGTTTTCCAGCTAATGAAAAGAAAATAGGATTCCATCGAGTCTCCTATCTACCTACTCCAGGACTTCTGTGAGGATCAAATGAGATGAGGCACGTGAAAACGCTTCACAAACATTTGGTTAAAGTGTAAAATGTTTGCACCTGGTTATAAAGCAAGTTGTGTTCCTGGACTAAAGAAACTGTAAGGAGGCTAGTTGTTGCTAGGGAGAGGAAGCCGGGCATTGCTACGTGATGTCATTACCCAGCACCCACAGCCACTATTTCTGGGCTGGGCTGAGCTGTGGGCCGAATTTTGCGCCATGGGGTCTTGGCAGCACTGGCTATGATTTGGTGGGCTGTCGCCCCAGGGTGGTGGCGAGGCCTGTGTCCCACTTGGGGGAAGCCAAGTGTTGGTTTGTTGGCGCCAAGTCTGTGGTGCCATTTAAATGGCCAGTGCACGCCAAGGAAGCTCCTGCATTGAGCTTCTGTCCCCCGGTGGTCAGTGCACATCATAGCTACCAGTCAGATGGTTGACGGACACTTAGGCTTTTATATATATGGATAAGTATAAAACTTCTGCAGTAAGACCTCAGATATCCAGCATTATTAAGGTGAGCCATATAAATTAGTTCTCCAACTTTAATTTCACTGCATTTTAAAATCATTTTTGCCCTGGCCAGTTTGACTCAGTGGATAGAGCATCATCCAGCAGACTGAAGGGTCCCAGGTTTGATTCATCAAGGGCATGTACCTTAATTGCAGGCTTAATTCCTGGCCCTGGTCAGGGCTCATGTGGGAGCAACCAACCAATGTGTCTCTCTCACATTGATGTTTCTTTCTGTGTGTCTCTCCCCCCTCCCTTCCAATCTCTCTTAAAAAAATCAATGGGAGAATATCCTCAGGTGAGGTTTAACAAAAAAATATATACAAACAGACCATCAAACCTCAGAGGGAAGGTAGGGGAGGGTGGGGGGAAGGGGGAGAGATCAACCAAAGGACTTGTATGCATGCATATAAGCCTAACCAATGGACACAGACACCCCCCCAAATATATGTTTCATCTTCCTAAGAATATAACAAATTTCTTTGCCTTATAGACGATATTATATTGAATATAATTTACTTATCTGCATGATTCAATATCTTTAGTAAAAGTATGAGCAGTACCTTGATGACTTCGGGGTTTACTAATGTGTTAAGACCATTTACCTCTTCTTGATGGGCTCACTCTTCTGGCATTTTATACTTTTGCCCCTACCAATCATCATCTGACTATTATAATTAGTGGTCTAATTTTAAAAGCCCATCCTCCCTATTCTTGTTCCTAACTTGCTAATGTGCAATGACAGTAGTTCCCAAGGTGCATTCCAAGCATGCTCCCAAAAAAAGATGCCCTGGTGGAAGAAGTTTAGTAAATACAGATCTCCGGGTGCCTTTATTGCAGGACTTCTCAGGGCATTTAATGTGCTAATGTGCACTATGAATCTCCAAGACTAAGGATTTAGTCTTCCCCCCAAAATAGGATACAAAGCAGCATTCTCCAAACATATCTAGCCAGAGAAACCTTTCTTCCAGACTTTCTTGGAAAACTCCTAAAAGTTACATTTCAAAAAAACTCATTTGGAAGTAGATTAATCAAATGAGTGCACTAAATCGGTGGCCTTACTTTGGACACAATTCTACATTAATGTAGGCTCTAAAGGCCCCATGGGTAGCTCATGATAATTCCTATGCATTGGCCTCTATTTCTTGATACAAGGAAATTTCATTGGCTCACTTCCAAGTCTGTAATTGTAACCCAGATGGTGAGATTTGCTGGAAGCCTGACAGCAGATAAGAGGCACTGCTACGTGAGGTTTCATGGTCAGTCAAATGAACATGCCTGATCAGATTGTTTACCTGTTTATCCTCATCATCCATTCTTTTGAAGGTATTTTTTTCCGAGATTAAATATGGAATTTGAGCCTTAGTTCCATGCAGCTCAGCCGAGTTCGCAAATCGTATGTCACTGTCCGTCTTTGACATCATAAATCGAGGCAGCGGCAATTCTTTAGGACCAGAACCAGAGAAGCTCAAGTGAGACTTTATTTTAGAACTGAGGAAAGGGAACTCACTCTCCAAAAAATGAATCACTTTTGAGGAAAATTTCCAGAGCACTAAATATAGATTAAATTTTTATTTCGACACAATAAGGACTCCTATAATAGTGTCAAGATAGAAAAATGCTACCAGTTTTACCAAAGTATTTTGGCTTAACATTTTTAAATGCCCTCAAGTCTTCGTAGACCTAATTCAGGGTTTGGACTCATCTCCCACTTCAGCCTTTATTTCAGCACCAAGAAAAAAGGATGTGATATTATATAAATAAGTGGCAAATGGTAGCGGGCAAAAATTACATAGCACTTATTATATGCCAGACACTGTATTAAGATGTGCAAATATTAGCTCATTTAATCCTCACAACAACTCAATAAGGTAAGAGTATCATTAGCCTTCACTTACAGATGTGGAAATAGACATCAATCATTTGAAGTGCTAATTAACATCCCCAAGACCACACAGTTCATCTGTGGCAGAGCTGGCTCTTTACTAGTGCCCAGTGCTGCTGCCCTACAGAACAGTTTCTTATCCTATGTTATTCCTTAATGAACTTTCACATTCAATCTCCAGTTGTCTTTTCATAATGGAATAAGGAAAATGGTATCAAGTTAAAGCAATTAGCCCAATGTTCAGCCAGATCCTACTGTCAAAACCATTAGCCACACTCACAATGCTACAAAGAACTGAAATGTAACTGATATATTTACTTATCTTTCAAACCTGACAAAACTATTCTGAAAACAGGAATAATGCTTTGGCACATTTCTAGTTCTCAGAACAGCAAATTACACAGCACAAACAACTCCAAAAATGGGGATAATATTGTGAATTACGCATAATGATTTGCATCTGTATCCACTGTTCAGGATAATACTCAGTGTGCCTTTGCGCTTCTATCAGCTCGCTATTCCAAAAACACAGCTGCACGTCCAATGATTGATGCTGTGCTAAAGCCAGAAAACATCTTAGCAACAGCAAGCAAGTATCCTAGTTCCCCAGGCAAAGAAGGTCCCTGGTTCTCTAATATCCACATCATGTTTATTTTTAGTTGCTATGTCCACATTTAATTCAAAGAAGTAGGCAATATGACAAATCCCTGTGTGATCAATCAGCCAAGGGCCCAAGAGACTCGAATAGGATAACCAATCTGGAAAATTAAACCAAGACTCTCCTGAAGAGAGGATGGCTGCCATTTTTTTTTTTTTTACTGTTTTAATGTTTCCCAACTTCAGCAGCTCTCCAGCACTCAAAGCAGGAATGGACTTCATAAGAGAAAAGTAAATCAAATAAGCTAATCCTATGGTGTCTTCTCAGAAAGGTATTTGTTTCAGCTCAGTCTGCAAAAAAGGATCTGAAAAGATGGAACAAGATCAAATAAATAATTTGTACTCTGATCTGCCGAAGAGAGGATGATTCTACTTCTGAGTACTTGAGGGGGGAAAAGAAGTAAATGGTCCAGCATTTGCAAGCTCCCTGACCAGTATTTTACTGGGTTCAGCAGATAACCCTGGCTGTTTAACCCAGCTCTGACTAAGGTGAGGCAAGAGATGCCTAGTGCCAATATTTAAGGATGCACTCACTCTCAGGGCTATGTAAATGCAGAGTCGACACTTGCAGGGCCCTGAGAGTGAGTGCCCCCTTAAATTAAGCACCCTAGGTACCTCTTGCCTCACCCCAGTTCAGGCCCAGGTATAACCAAATACTCATAGCTAAAGCAAAGCTCTTGAAAATGCTCCACTTGGCTTTCATTAGAAGGCACTCTCGACACTGGCTGCACATGAGTCATCTGGGGAGCTCTTAAAAACCCCAATGTTTATCCCAGCAGGCATGACTCAGTGGTTGAGTATCAACTTATGAACCAGGAGGTCACAGGTTCAAGTCCTGGTCAGGGCACCTGCCCAGGTTGTGGGCTCAATCCCCAGTTGGGGGCATGCAAGAGGCAGTCGATCTATGTTTCTCTCTTGTCAATATTTCTATCACTCTCTCACTCTCCCTTCCTCTCTCTCTAAAATCATTAAAAACATCTTTTTTAAAATCCCAATGTTCAGGCCACATCTCAGGCTAAATAGATTAGAATGTCTAGGGGTGGTCTCTGTTTTTTATTTTGCATTTAAAGCTCTGTAGGTCAGAGGTAAAAGGCATCAGGATTTATAAAACACAACTGAGAAAGGCTTATATTTGTGAAAAGTGTTAATCCTATATTTGTGAAAAGTGTTAATTAGGATACCAGGCAATCCTCCCCCACCCCCTCGGAAACTGTACTGTAGATTTGGGCACAAAGCAGGTAAAAGATTTCAGTCTTACTTAAAATAAGCAACAAAGGTGTCTGAACTTCATTCTTGTATACAACAAAGCAATTCTAACTTCTCCAAAAGATAAAGTTGGAAGATGCTACAATAAAGCTTAATGCCCATTTACAATGGAATGAAAACTATCAGTGCCTACCACAAATCCACTGTGATGTAAGTTTAACTATAAGTAACTAACAGCAGAGACTGCTATGTCTCATAGCAATAAACACTAAACGAGCCACTGAAATTATGCTCCATCAAGAAACTTGTTTCAAGGAACCAAATTATGTAATACCAACGGATGCCTTTTGGGTCAGATTTGTTCCCCCATTTGGATAATATTCCATGATTACAGATTACAGTCAGCACTTACTAAACAGAAAGAATAATCAAGAAGAAGATACTTTGCATAACAATGAAGAGCATGGGAACTGGAGGCTGAGCTCCTGGCTCCAAACTCTACTAGCCTTGCATCCTTAGGCAAGTTACTCAACTGCCCTAAACTTCAATTTCCACATCTGTAAGATAGGAATAATAACAGTCCCATAATAAAGACCGCCAGTGTTTAGCCACTTCTCTCTTTGCAGGCACATGAGAAAATTACATCCCCTCCAGTCTGCTTTGCAGTTGAACGAATCATGTGACAAGTTCTGGCCAATGCACTGTGAGTGGCAGTAATATGAGTCACATCCAGGCATTTAACTGCTAGGGTGAGAAACTATTTCTCTGTTCTGGCAATTATGGGAACAGGTGCTGTGCTGGAGGTGCCACAAGATAAAGCAGCCAGGATAACAGAGCCACCACATGGAGGGTAGCTGCCCTAGACTTCACCCCGACCCACTGCAAAGCAGGAAGCAAACCTTTGTTTTGTTATGACACTGAGATTTCAGTGGTGTCTCTTACCACAGCTTATCCTAGGCAACACAAACTGATACAAATACTGAATGTAGGACTTGTGAAGACTAAATGAGATAGTGCCTGCCATACACTAAACTTTTGATAAAGATGAGCAGAATGATCACAGTCCTCTGATGGTTAGGTAAAAGGGCTGTGTTTCCCCAAGCTATGAGCATCTTCTCAGCTATTTGGAGTTGTCCTACAAGGTTACCATGGACTAACCATAAATCCTGAACCCTCTTCGAGGTCTACCAGGGCAGGTGTAAACAGCTGATTGGTTTTCATCTCAATATGAGGAAAAGGAAAAAGTTTCTGCATGCTGTGTGGACATATCAAAGTCATTTGTATAAGAGTGAATTAACAGAGGACCTCAGCACATCCCTTGAGTATTCACCTTCTTCATACAGATTTGTAAAACCAATACTGAGGCAGTATAAATGATGACAAGAGTCTGGAGCTTTGCTTTTTGTTCAAGTTGTGGAAAGTGCTCAAGTATCAGTGGGTTGGGAGCAGGGATGGCAAGATAAGAAAATGTTAAATCAAAACTTTGAGAAGATAATTTCATTCTGCCAAAATTGGTACCCCCAAAGTACTTACTAATCATCAGGATGGTGCTTCAAGAATTGGGGAATTAAAGGATGATCAGAGCTGATATGACTGACAGGGACAAGAGAGAGAGAATGGGGGCAGTTCCACCCAGACTCTCCCACTTACTCAACCCCTTGTCCTGAACAAAGCCTTAAATGACAGTATGAATTCCTCAAGTGGAAAATTAAACTGAATGCTATTCTTTTGCCATGGCTCTGGAATTCCTGTCCCAATCTCTTCCTGCTAAAGAACAAAATCTATTTTAATGGCAAGTCAGTTAAAAGGAAGTAATCTCAGGTTGCTCTCTGAATTTTTCCCACTTAAAAAAAAAGAAACTAAGATACTTGCTGAGTTTTCTTATTTTAGTTTACAGGAGAGTTGGATAAAGCAAGGAGCAATTCCACAAATGCTTATAGAATAGGCTTTAAACCCACTACAAATGGTTCTCAGAAATAAGAAACAGGTCATGGGTAATAAAATGTATAACTGGGAGCTACTTACCACATTTAATACTCTCTATCCGCACAGGGAGGCCAGATTGTGCTGCAGCAATTAATTTCAAGGCAATGTAAAACTGAGTTGGACCAAAATAACCAACGCGCTTGGCACCACACAGTTCTGTGATCTGAAAACAGAAAAGAAAAGTGATGCTGAAAAACTCCATTTCATAACAGGAAAATGAGACAAGATATATTATGAAATCTCAAGGATTTCACAGTTTCGCTAACCACAAGTCCCTGGAGAACCTATGTGTACACACCGGTTTCTTTTTCTTCCAGTTTACAGGGAGGTATTCAATTCAGATAATTAAATTCTACCTACTCATGATGTTTCAGGACTGATTATTCCTCCTCTTTCAACAATAAAATTAAAGGTAACAAAGGATGGCTGTTATTCTTCTTACAAAAGAGAGTGACTTTTTCAGGGGGTGGATTCTGATGTATGAAATCTAGAAAGTCAGTGGGGGCGAAAAGAGAACAGATTAGTCATTTCCACTACCTGTGGATGATCCTAGTTGATCAAAATTAAAAGTGATTATTTTTTAAGTTCTCAGGCAAATGATTTCCTAAGCATTAAAATTACATCTTGAGTGCTCATTTCAGAGGAACAAAACGGAAGTATTTTCAAGATATTGCACCCTAGCTGGTTTTGCTCAGTGGATAGAGCATCGGCCTACGGACTGAAGAGTCCCGGGTTTGATTCCAGTCAAGGGTACATGCCCGGGTTGTGGGCTTGATCCCCAGTAGGGGGCGTGCAGGAGGCAGCCGATCAATGATTCTCTCTCATTGTTGATGTTTCTCTCTCTCCCTCTCCCTTCCTCTCTGAAATCAATAAAAAATATATTTTTTAAAAAGATATTGCAATCTTTCATTTGTAGACCTTAAACCAGGGGTCCTCAAACTATGGCCCGCGGGCCACATGCAAATACAAATATTGTATTTGTTCCCGTTTTGTTTTTTTACTTCAAAATAAGATATGTGCAGTGTGCATAGGAATTTGTTCATAGTTTTTTTTTTAAACTATAGTCCGGCCCTCCAACGATCTGAGGGACAGTGAATTGGCCCCCTGTTTAAAAAGTTTGAGGACCCCTGCCTTAAACTAACACATATCCTATTGGTGGTTTAAAATAACTTAAATTCAATGACTTATAGATACTCAAAAATTCAAATAATTGTAAGTGGGCGTGAAGAATTAAAAATTATCCCTCACTTCCTATGCCCCAGAGAAAAACACTGTATGTTCTTCTAGAAATGTTTTTTATCTCTAATAATAAAAAGGCAATATGCTAATTAGACCAGATGTCTTCCAGACTACCTCCGGACATCCTTCTTTTTTTTTTAAAATATATTTTATTTAATTTTTACAGAGAGGAAGGGAGAGAGATAGAGAGTTAGAAACATCGATGAGAGAGAAACATCGATCAGCTGCCTCCTGCACATCTCCCACTGGGGATATGCCCGCAACCCAGGCACATGCCCTTGACCGGAATCGAACCAGGGACCCTTCAGTCCACAGGCCGACGCTCTATCCACTGAGCCAAACCAGTTTTGGCCGGACATCCTTCTTGACAAAGCCGGGCCCAGGCGAAGTCGCCCGCAGTCCAGGGCGCCCTCGGCTACAGCTGGCCCAGGAGAAGCCATCCACGGTCCCGGGTGCCTGTGGCCAGCCAGAGGGAAGGAAGCCTGGGTCCTAGGTGTGGGGGCTGAGACAGAGGCAGTTAGGGGTGATCAGGCTGGCAGGGGAGCAATTAGGGGCAATCAGGCAGGCAGGCAGAGTAGTTAGGGGCGATCAGGCAGGCAGAGGTGGTTAGGGGTGATCAGGCAAGCAGGCAGAGGGTTTAGGGGCGATCAGGCAGGTGAGTAGTTAGGAGCCAGAGGTCCTGGATTGGAGAGGTTGCAGGCCAGGCTTAGGGACCCCCTCCCCCGTGCACAAAATTCGCGCAAGGGCCTTGGCCCCGGCCCCCACCTGCTGCCGCAGCCAGGGCCGTGGTCCCCGCCCGCTGAGGCTTTGTCCAGTGGTCTAATTAGTATATTACCCTTTTATTATTATAGATATATACTAGTATAATGCACACACCTGTGTTTTTTTCTTGTTGGTTATTCAATACTTCATACAAATAGAATACCACATACTATTTTGCACCATTTTTTCATTTAGCAATACTGTTTTCATGCCTCAAGACATCTCAGCCTGGATCCCCACCACCCTCAGGACAAAATCCTATCTCCTTAGTATGGCATTAAAGCCCCTTCACAACCTGTCCCTGAGCAGGTTTTCTAGTTTCATCTCAGGACACACACACATATACACACAGTTCTGTAGCTGCATTCAGCTTCTCCCACTGTCCAAACACATATTGCCCTTTCACATCTTTGTATCTAGTGCACATGCTATAGGAGATGGGAAACTAAAAAGCCTTAAAGCCCTGGTCTGTGTGGCTCAGTTGGTTGGAGTGTCGACCCATACATCAAAAGGTGGTGGGTTCAATTCCCAGTCAGGACGAGTATAGGAGGCAACTGATCAATGTTTCTCTCTCTCTCTCTCTCTCTCTCTCTCTCTCTCTCTCTCTCTCTCTCCCTCTCTCTCAAATCAATAAAAAATATCCTCAGGCCAAGCCAGGCTGTGGTTCAGCAGTTGAGTGTTGACCCAGGAACCAAGAGGTCACCAGTTTGATTCCTGGTCAGGGCACATGCCCAGGTTGTGGACTCGATCCCCAGTGCAGCGCATGTAGGAGACAACCAATCGATGATTCTCTCTCATCAATGATGTTTCTATCTCTCTTTCCCTCTCCCTTCTTCTCTGGAATCAATAAAAATATATTTTAAAAAAATATCCTCAGGTGAGTATTAAAAACTAAAATAAAATAAATAGCCTTAAAGTCAAGGTTGGTTTTCAATGAAGAAACTAACTAGTTTTATGACTTTGGCAAGTTAATTTAATCTGCCCGAAACCTAATTTCTTTCATATGTAAAGTAGAAATATTCTCTCTCTCATAAGACTATTGGAAGGAAAAATAAATAAATAATAAATAAATAAATAAATAAATAAATACTAAATGAACCTAATACAATACTTAGCACTCTATCTATATATACAAAAGCCTAAGCAACCAAATGACCAGTCACTATGATGTGCACTGACCACCAGGGGCAGACGCTCAATGCAGGAGCTGCCCCCTGG